TCGGTAGCTGACAGAACCCAGAATGAGGTTCTGTCCGCCCAGCGGTCGACCGCATAGGACTCAGTGGTCGACCGTCGCGCGTTCCTGCCTGCAGAATCGTTTCTGCGCTTTGGGCGGTCGACCGGCATGACCTCTGCGGTCGACCGCCGCTCAGCTTCTGAGCCCAGTAGTTCTCGGGCCTGCGAGCGGTCGACCGGAGTGGGTTCTGCGGTCGACCGCCGCACAGTTTTCCTGCCCTGTTTATTTCTGCTGTATAGTACACTCGTTAGAGCGCTTGCCTCGATCACCTAACTTTGATCTTCAGTTGCACTAAGCATCTATGCATGATAGATGGCTTGAAATACTTGCCTAGAATCACACGACGAGTTGAGTGTGAGTTTTGCATAAGTAAACCATGCCTTGTATATCACTAATACTTGCTCAGTTGCACAGTCCTCGTGTTGGACTATAATCCATAGAAGTCCTCGTGTTGGACTATAATCCATTTCAGTCCTCGTGTTGGGCAATTATCCATTTATCTCATGTGTTGGGAAATCTCTATATCTAATTCATGTACTGGACATCTTTATTAACCATGCATGCGACATTTCACATGAGTTATGACATGACACTTATGAAGAATATGACACCACATATATTGAGAGTATGATATGACACTCATGTCGAATACGACATGGTATTTATGTGGGACGTTACATAATACAGTATATATATATGTCCTGAGATGGGTTGTATTTCCTTTTTGCTTATTTCTGTGCACGTATTAGACTCCGGGTTTTGGTACTTAGGGATTTTCAATTTGGGATACAAGGTATATACATGAGGGTTTCCTTGTTTGGATTATTTCGCTCGACGTACCTATGCCCGTATTGAAACTTCATAAGTACTCAGACCCATTGTTTATTGATAGAGTAATTGTTTATATATATATATATTGTGATAACTCTATTTTGTATATATATATATATATATACTTTGTGATAACTGTATTTTTCTTATACAATGAGCCCTCTCCCTTGGGGTTGGTTGTGATGTTGCTCGCTAGCGCTTTGACGCTCGTTGTCCCTCCCCCTTTTAGGTAATGAGCCAGGAGCCCGGAGAGTCGCAGGTTGATGGCGACACACTTTAGTGTTCGACTGTCTATTCTAGCTATGCTTTATTTTGGAGCTCCACTATAGACTTTGTTTAGACAGTTGAGGACTTTATTCTAGATGTTGTAAAAGCTGTGTACCTTGTTTCCTTTATTCAGACTTGTTGTATTTGAGATGTATTAAGAACTCCAGTTAGTTCATTTTTGACATTGACATTATATTCCTGTGTGTTGGATGATGAAATACTATTTTACCTCTATCGTTTCATCAGCTATCTCTTGTAGTATCTCTTACTTGCTTTTGTACCTACACCTGTTATTGACCCACTAGAGTGATAGAATTGTGATGGTGAAACATGTTATTGCACGATGTGGTGCATGGCAGGTTTGACATTAATTGTGATGGTGAAACATGTTATTGCACGATGTGGTGCATGGCAGGTTTGACATTCTTGGTTTCACCTCGGTCTGCAGCCTTGTGTGAACCCAGGGGCGTCACAGTTGGTATCAGAGCTCTAGTTCCAGTATCCTTAGGATCATCCTGTGTCGAGTCGTGGAGCTAGGATAGAGTTTCCTAGGATTCATGTATAGAGTCCGTATGGATATCCTAGTATGAGTGAGGACGACTTATGCGTATACCTCAAAATTTGAGGAAAAAAAAAATTTTTTATGATAACTATTTTGCAAATTTAAAGTATTTTGTGTGAATACTATATGTTGTGAAGATTGTATTTATATATATATATATATATATATACACACACGCGTGCGCGTGCATATATATGTATTTATGTATGTACATACATTCATATGTGTGTGTGTGTGTGTGTGTACATATTGCGATGATGCTTGTGATGGAACTGGTGCCGACGAGATGCAACACGAGACTCTGTTAGGATCTTCTCAATTAGAGATTGCATGTCTCCTCCCATGGACCTCAGCAGTAGCTCACATCCAAATACCAGGAAAGCTATTGTATTGCGAAGAAAATGCGAGAGGAACTATAAAAGGAGGATAAACGATATTAAAAAAGGGGCGTATAATAAAGCAGAGGCTCGAAAATGTGATTGGAAAATCAGATTGAGCGTAAATGGGTAGAATATTGTTGTACTATTGAAAGAATTATGTAGCTTATTTGGATTATTTCAATTTTATGGCAAATTTGTTTATTTTTCTGCCTTGTAGGGAAAAATGTACTAAGAAGCCCGGTAGGCATGGGAGTGAGCAAAGTACCAAAGTACCTCCACAAGGTTGTCGGGCCATTTTGGAGAGGAGAGACAACATTCCGTTAGGGATTATAGTATCAAATTTAATAATTTGATAGGCTGTTTAATAAGAGACCTGCGCTCTATAAACATTACTTATAATTTTGAAGAACAAGAAAGGAACGGTATAAAGAAAATCTATGAGAGGCTCATGGTAATTATTTATTACATTACTTCTTTCAATTACTATTTATTTGATTATTTTTATAGTGTATGTTTTTTCCATATGTGTTTTGCAGGATCATTATAGTGTTGAGAACAACCCGTACTCTTTGAATTATGTAATGCCTAGAGTGAGTGAGATGATTCGAGGGTGGAGGAATAAACTAAACAAAAAATACTTTACAGATATAATCGTTGCTTTGAAGAGGATCTATGAGCTTGATAAGAGGGTTCCTCCATATAATTGGATAAGTTTCATTGTCAAGTGGGAGGGTGAGAAGAAGGTGAGTTATTCTTAATTCATGATATTACCACCGCACGCACTAAAAAAATACTTGATTTTAAAGGGAAAATGTTTGACGGCATCTCTTAAATTTAGTTCCCCTAACCATTACACCAAAACTCTGAAGTTATGGTGAGGATCAAGGATTATAGTTTTATACTAATTCTAACATGCCCCTGCAGATCGAGCACCCTTTTTTTATGGGTCAAAACCTGGACTCACGTAGCAGTGTTAATTTTTAGAAAATCCGCATTTAATTCGTGGCCGGTGACATTTGAATCCGGGTTGCTCTGATACCATCTTAAATTTAGTTCCCCTAACCATTACACCAAAACTCTAAAGTTATGGTGAGGATCAAGGATTATAGTTTTATATTAATTCTAACAGCATCAAAGAATCACAATTTTAAACTATACAATCACTTTCTGGGAGTAAGAACCCAATATGATCAAATGATTAAAACTTAACTCATGTGACTAGTTTCATACATTGCTCGAATAAATTTGAAAATTGATATATCAAAAGAAGCATTGACTATGTCGTTGACCTTTCTTGCTAGAAGAGCTTATACACCACTCGAGGGTTATGATCAGGATAAAAAGTGAAGAAAATTAATTATATGCATGCAAGTATAAGCTTAATTTCACATGTGCACATACTTAATGATTTCTCATTAGAGTTTTTGTTATTGCTATAAACTTTGTCTTGTCCCAAGCCGTCTAATCTCAGGGCATAGAGGACACTCCTGTGGAGCCTAACCGTATGACCAGAGAGTAGTGGAGGAAATTCATTGATGGAGCTTATAGTTCTAGACCAAACAAGAAAGGGAAGGTGCCCTTATCAAGTGCTAGACTTAGGACATTTTCCACTGGCAGGATTAAGGCTAGCAACCCGTTCGTGACCTCAAAGCAACCATGTGAGACATCATATGTCATGGGTAAAATCAGACAGTACTTTTGGGCAATCTTGAACCCTCACTGGTTTTCCAATTTCTTCCCATTATTATGTGCGAGTTAAATGGTGCACAATTGACCTGGGATCATCTGTAGCGCATCATCGACTTTGAGTCCTTAAAGGAGATTCTTCTCCAACCTATATACGTGGCTATCACTAAGTTGGCATTTGCAGAGCATGGAGTTATTGGTGGTGGTGACGTATATATGACATAACATATATGTATTTTTTATGAATTTTTTTAAACATATTTTCATGTTGACTTGTATTCTTTTCAAGCTAGAGAAGTTACTCCCGTAGGGAGCAGTAGTATGATACATGGTTCTGATGTAGCCACCGCCAATGATAAGGACGACGACAACGACAACGACGACATGTTATGAGCTAGACTTGTTCTTACATTTATGTACTTTCGGATTGGTAGACATGTTATAACTTTTGGATTTTATCTATATATACTATATTTGTGATTTTGTTGCTTTGTGTATGATATACGAATATCGTTTGAGTATAGAGATGTATTGTGGTTGGATTATTGGATGAGTATTGTTGGATAATATGGTTGGATTGGTGGATGAATATTCTAAATGTGAATATTACTCTGTGGGGAGCAGTAGTATGACACGGGGTCCTGATGTAGCCGCCACCAATGATAGGGACGATGACAACGACGACGATGACCTATTTTAGTCTAATTGTTGTGTTGCTGGAAGTCATGGATGTTGAGCACAATCTGTCTAATATCATGTCGGTTTTATTGGGTTTAGCTTAACCCGAATTCGTTCCTGTATGACTTCTAATCCATAGTTTTTACTTAAATCATGATTATTCATTAAACAAGTTACAGTCCCGTTGATTTTTTATTGGATCCATCATTACAGATGTGTTTAAGCGCTGGATACAATTAAATTTTCTAAAATTTCTGCAGCTTATATTTTTAATTTTTTCGCGTTAGATCTTACCAGTTCAATCTAGTCTCCGAGTTTTAATTATAAATTTTGAATGAGAATAAATAAATGGTTTTCGGGCTACCCGTACATAGTTTTCAAGCATTTAGTGCAATAAATAAATTGCCTCTGATTCTTTGTTTTCATCAGAGATCACAGATTGAACGATTCGATCAAAATTGTTTGCAACAAGCAACAGAAAACTAATCAGACACAAATTTCCAGGAAATTAAGCAGGTAGATTCATATATAAAAATTTCACAAAATTTATTAGCAAACTAGGAGTTGGAACACGTGAATTCAAGATTAGATAAGAGATAAAATGAATAATACTACAAAGCAAATGTACAACTTCGCAACCACCCATCGCAAATTTCACAGGAGAAATGAGTTCCAATACAAGATGATGACCACCATGATCAAATTCTTCGCAGGTTAGAATTTTACCAGGAAGTGGAATTGGAAAATACATTTTCTAAAGATTTAATGTTCAACAATCCAAATTAATCACCGTCTCTGGACCGGTTTATATAACACTACCGTAACATATTTTGAGCGGTATCGATGGGTGATTCCCAAAGATACAACAGACCTAGGGCTCTCTCTGTTTTCTATATAAAGATGGTTAAGAACCACATTCTGAGGTAAGGGGAGGCTATTGAAACCATCTCTGCTTGCCGGTACACTCAAGAGGGAACTATGCAAGTGTGGAGGTACGAGTGGAGGATCTTGAGCTGCTTCTTCTATGCCTGGAATAGGATTGTTGTAGCTTGAATCAGGAGATCTCGGTACTTCAAATCCTACTACAGTTACTCCTTCCTGCATGCAATTTCAATCAATATGAACAAAGAACGTTCTTCATAGTTATAATAGATCCTTGAGGATGCCTTGAGCTTACTTGGTCATCTCCGTTTGGGCCATTCATGACGTCTGATAGTCTTAAGTTACCCAATAATCTGCAGTTGACTAGCGACATCAGTAATGTGTGAAGAAAATAGAAAAAATGTTCCAACCTAATTAGATGGCAACTCTGAAAATGAAACGACAGACTGATGATTCCGTTTTAAAATGAAGCAGTGTTGAGCGAGGGTAATCTGTAATAAGAACATAACAATAGGAGCACGGGTGAGAATGGCAGACACTACCAGATCCGGGCCGCGCCGCCCCCCCCCCCCTCTCTCGCCCCAAATAAAGAAAGGTTGAACATCTCTGGCAACATTTTTCCATCCCAGTTCAGGATGGTTCAAACTTCTCTTGTAATACACATTTGTCTAAGAGAAATAAAATAAGACACTTCTTGTTTTAGTAAGTACTAAGTAGTAATATGTATTTAATAACACTTACGGATTGTTCATTAGTGGTGGTATACCCAACTTTGCATGTGTGATTAGATAAACATGACAAAATACACAGTTTAATGAAAACATTCATTAAATGTATGTTTCTACTTTTAGCATTCTAGGTTGTCTCAGGTGCTATAGTAACAAGTATGTTCACTGAATAATATAGACCATAAGCAGTAAGTCCATCTACTAATAAGGCATAAGATCCAGATCATCTGATAGCAAGGCATAAGATTCACGCAGGGAAAAGGAACATTGCACAGCCAGTGAATTTTGCACAACAAAAGAAATACTAGCAAGTAGCATTTACATAACAGAAAAAGAACATCCAACCAGAAATTTGTTACAAAAGGCAGGATGAAAATTCTATGCAAATTTTCATGCACAATCTAATATCAACATGAATATTGAACTGCCCAGTACTCTTTATTGGCATGAAGTCCAAGTGAAGACCAAAGTAAACCTCACTTTTAGACAACAATCTGATATATTCCTGACTTCGGATCAAAACCAATACTTGAAGGTATACATATTCAACCCAAGCAACTACAGAAGATGTAAATTAGACAAATATATTAGTTGTAAAATAAACCCACATCACATAACAGCTCTGTATCACTATGACATGAATAATGCTTATGTTTAAAACCAACATCACATACCTGTACTATATGACTATTGCATGAACAATGTTTATGCTCCTTTGAAAACAGTCGCAAAAAATGTCGAAGTTATTGGGCATGTTGCTCTATTAACTATGAACCAATCTTAATTGTTATTGGCCTCCACTGCATCATGACATGAGATGTTTGCTTTGGAACCCAAACTTGCCTTCCTATGTGGTACTTAGCTGACTCTTCCTTTGTTAGTATAACTAAGTCAGCTTTTCTGCTCTAATTGACAAGAACACAAGAAGAACAGAAGGGACTTTGTACGCTTTATTAGCTTCAACTCCTCTTGGTTACAAATGAGGCTCCATGATCTCTTTATATATGGAAATCTCCCCTTCATATTGATGATAGGATTTCTTTTCTAGATAGTTTCATACATCTTATGGCTACAATTGATTTTTATAGAGAATTCTATACAAAATATCTTCAAGCGTGTAAATACAAGAATGCCTAGAGTCAGACTGATGTGGCATCCCATGCATTGCCATGTAAGGCAGATGTGGCAACTGACAAAGCGAGCAATGTCATTTCCCCCACTCATTCAAGCAATTCCCATATTGCTTCACTTCTCCACGAGAAAACTCTATCAAGACTTTGAAATGCCAAAAAAGAGTTGACTACCTCCTAATTGCACTCGCTGTCAGATAATCTTTCTATGAACGAAGCATTTCAATGCTTGTGGATTGTTCCCTACATGAACCACCCTATCCAACAAGATCTCTTCACCCTCTTGCTCAAACTCTGCACCGATTCCAGCAGGCGCTCTACTAAATCTCCATCCGCTCAGGCCTTTCGCATCTTCATGGTATGGTTCAACATGGTCTGGAGGGCCTGTAGAAGTTCAACATTGTAGGCAACACTCCTCACCTTCACAACTGTAAGTCATGAAATGAGCCATCATACTTCTTCATCAGATTTTTCATGATGCCCTGTATCAATCTACCATTGATAGCTTGACAAAGACTAGGTCTCCAACATTATATGATGTCACTTCCTGTCGACCCATTTCTTCATCTTTCTTGCTATTTTGTTCAAGCACAAACATACTAACTCGTTCTGCTCCTACCATCCTTTAGTAACTTGTAGGTCGTCGGATTACTCTTCTTATAGCCTGTCATAATGGAATTCTAAGTGAAAGGTTGGCTACCAAGCACAGTCTCAAACGGACTCCTCCAAGTGGATTCACTCCATTGCAGGTTTTATGAGAGTAATATCCAACATCTTCGATCCTGGTGGTTGGCATTCATGTAGTGCCTCAAGCAAACCTCCAACAAAACATCCACCCTCAATATGATTTTTGAACATCTTGTTCATCATATTGCAAAATGTAGCCGATGCATTTGTTAGACCAAAGACATAACAAGAAATCCATATGTACCGCACTGTGTCACGCACATCATTTTAGGCTCATCTCCTTGCACTATTCGTACTTGGTTACCCTAGTCTTAGGAAAGCTAGATGAAACATCAAAGCTTACTTGCACAACATGAAATGCTACATTTCCTAACTCTAGAACATTCTTGTACTTTTATGATTATAATATAATATTTGGCTTGAATTCTCTAGAAGAATCAATTGTAGTCATTGGACTATGAAACCTCTAGAAGGGAAATCCTAGCTGCTGATATAAGGGGAAAGCTCCACTGAATAAAGGGGCTAAAAGGTACTCATTTGTAAGTAAAAAGAGTTGAAATTAATAAAATATATGAGTTCTCTTTTATCCTCTCGTGTTATTGTGAGTTTGAGTGGGAAGACTGACTTAGCTATTCTACTGAGGGAAGAACGAGCTGAGTGCCACATGGCAAAGCAATTTTGAGTTCTAAAACAAGCAACTTGTGACAATTTCGTATCAGAGCTATGAAATCTCAACATGAACATTGAACCACTTGATGTTGGTAGGAATGCCAAGTGCAGTCCTAAATAAATCTCCCTTTAGCTGTCAATGAAGTATGTTTTCCATCTTGGGGCCAAAATTGATGCTTGAAGGTATGCATATTCAGCTCACGCAATTGCATAGCACGCAAATGAAACAAATATGCTAATTGTAAATAAACCCACATCAATGTTTCAAAAAGCGGGCGCCTAGCCCACAAAGGCTCTCGCCCAAGCAATACTTAGGCATCCTTTTAGGTCTTAGGAGCGCCTACGGGAACATCGGCTGCTTACGCAAAACTGCAACACTTAGGTCTAAGTCGTGATTTCCTGCATTGTTGCCTCCATATCCTCCAACCTCCTTCGACCTCCTTCACCAACCACACACCTCATCCAACTACGAAGACGTTCTCTAATTCCTGACTTTTCGAAAACCTCCTCCACCACTAAAAACGAAAAAAGAAATCCTCCAAGATCTGCTCTAGTCGTGCTTAGTGCTTTCTATAATATTGAATGTAATAAAAAAATAAAAAAGCGAAAACGTTTACATCCTGCCTAAGCTCTCTCCTAGGTGCCTAGGCCGCCTAGCGCTTTCTGACATTGTGACCTTGATCCAACATATTTGTTTTGTATCACTATAGCATGGAGAATTCGTATGTTTAGAGCCCACATGACATACATCTAATGTATAACTATTGCATGAATAATGCTTTTGCTCATTTAGAACAGTCACAAAAATGTCATGTGAGAAACCTCTAACTTCTTATAGATTCCTCCTAACAATTATTGGCCTCTTCTACATAGACATGCCAAACCATCTCAATATGCTCTTCATCATTTTGAATGAATGTGAGAAACCTCTAACTTCTTGTAGATGTCATCATTTCATATATCTCTTCATATAGTGCACACATCAATCTCAACACTCATTTTTGTTATCTATTTAGCATTACCTTCGACAATCAATATGGCATTCCCTTGCAGAAGGTTAATATGCAACGTAGCATTGCACAAAATTGTAACTCATGACCTCATATTTTTGTCAAGATTTAGAAATAAACCTTGGGTTATAGTTTGCATATTATCTGTGAATGTTTATTTAATGTTCTTTTTATCGATACATATTTGATGATAAAGAATATGAGCTTGATGAATTATATCACAAACACCACGGGATGGACATTACTCGAGTATTGCGAGAGTTTCACCCATTCAAGCTTCAGTGGAAAAAGGTAGGTATATTCATAATGCACTTTTATTTGACAAACCTAATGTTTCATTAGCCTCTATCTCCGAGCCCTCATTTCTGAATCTAGTCATAGTAACAACTTGCTGACTTTTAACATTATAAGGGCTGCCACTGACCTATCTATCTCCTCTAACTTGATCATATTTAGGTTCTTAGATTATATTAGTGAGTTAGAAGGGCCCAACCAAAGTTTGCTTAGGCTAAAAAGACGGAAAGGCTACATTTGGTAATGGTTGCACTCTAGTTTGGGCAAGCTTCAAACCTCTAGTGAGTTTTTTTTTTTTTGTAAAACTGTTATTTGAGGTTCTTCTTTTACCTACTTATGTAATTAAAATTTATTATATATTGTCAAATTTAATATTTTTTATTGTAGTACAATAGTTATCCTCACTCCCAAAAAAAAAGGAAACTGGCTCCACCACCTAAAAGGGTGAAGGCCTGAAGTAGACGTGTGTATGGTGCGTTGTTTAGGGTGGGAAGGAGAAAGGGGGCACATTGAAATAAATATGTAACATAGAAAAAGAAGATACAATACATAGAAGATGCTTTGTAATCTTCAAAAGATGATGCACACATGTTGAAATGATGATGATGAAAGTGGCTGAAACAACTATGATGCAAGAAGAAAATGATTTTTCAAGAGGGAAAAAACATGTTATAATGTCCACGAGATTGTCTACAGAACAAAATGATATAATTGGTGGTATATCAACAACTCTAGCTAAGGGTTTGGTGTTGCTATTATGTTGAATATGCTTTATTGGGAGTGATAGAATGGTGTCCGGTATAGATGGCGATGTTGTCATCAAACTCTCAACCAAGAAACATGCTACTTTTGTCACTTACTTATAAAAGGGTGCATATTCATTTGAGGAGGATGTGGAAGAATGAAGATGTCATTGAAAAGAATGAAAGAAAACTATCAAACATATTGTCAGCATAAAAGATAATTTGTTGCTAGAGGAAATTAATCCACAACGGAGTTACAACTAAACATGAAGAA